TCATAGGTTCGGGTGTGAACAGACAATGAGGAGAGCTTCTCGAAATACTTCTCTACAGAGCCCTCACTCAATCGCCTAGAACCCAGGGCACATGTTCCCACAGCCACAGCGCAGGCCCCACGCCAGAAACCACACAACCCACTGATGATTCAGCCGTCAACACAGCCAGTTTCCCATTGTTTCCTAGGAAATGGCAGACCCAGGTCCCAGCCATCTGCCTCCAAGACCTAGAAACGATGTCTGGCCCCCTCCCCTACCAGGCCCCCCTGGTCCACCCTGCCCCTGCCCTGTGGCCTAAGTGAGTTTGCCTTCTGCTCTGGCCCAAGGCAGGGACTGGGCCACCTGTGCTGAGGCCAGAAGGGCAGGATCTGGGAGTCAGAAGGATTTCCCAGCAGTAGCTGCTCATCCCACCCTGCCCCTGCCCTGCATCTGTGGCCTAAGTGAGTCTGCCTTCTGCTCTGGCCCAAGAAAGAGACTGGGCCACCTGTGCTCAGGCCAGAAGGGAAAGAGCTGGGAGTCAGAAGGATTTCCCAGCAGTAGCTGCTCATTGGGGGTGGGGAGGGAGGGGGCAGCCTGGCCTGGCCTCAGACCCAGCGGCTGTGGGGACGGCTATGGGAGGATCCCTGACGTCCCCCCGGGACGCCTCTGCATCCTCCTGGCCCTAGGGCTGCAATGGGCTACAAGCCAGGATCTTGACTCTGGGATGGACTGGAGGGAAGTCCCAGCACTCCTGACTCCCCCTCCCTGGGAAGTTCAAGGGCTCCCTTAGGGGAACTCCAGGAGCAGAAAGTCAGGATGCAAAGCACTGGTGTGGCTCCCAGTAGTCCTGAGTAACAACCCTGCCAGGACATGATTCCCTAAGAGACCCTGCATACCGGGACTTGGGCCACCAACAAACCAGGCAGGGGCACCAAGAAATGAGAGCTTTTTGTAAAATTTGCTATTAAAAACAGTCTCAAAATAAGCATTCAAGTAACTACTGTGGATAAAAGCTCTTATGGAAGACTGGACTTCCCTAACGTCCTTCTGGCTCGGTCTGGTTTCATTCGGAATCGAACACGGGGAGGGAGAAAGAACAGGTCACCTGATGTATGCAGAGGTCCGGGTTAAAGGCCCAGGTTTCTACTGGCTCAGGGAGCAGCGCGGTTTTCCCGGAGGGTCTCCTCGTGAAAGGGCTGGGGGCTCAGAGGCCCAAGAAGGAGTTTAATGCAGCCAGTCGGGTGTCAAGAGGCCCCTAAGGGTTCCGGGTAAGAAGGACTGGGGGGCTGAGGGCCTGGATCCCAGGTCTTCCTGCAGCCACACCGGCTCCTCCTGGGGTGGGGGCCATGGTCCAGCCCCACCCCACGGGTCAGACGCGGAGGCGGGGCGCCTGCATGCTTGTGGGGGACTCACCGCCAGCAAAAACCGCATCCCTGCCTTTAATTATGCGTTTGAGTTAAGCTCTTTGGCCACAAACGGAAAGCCTTTGAGCCCAGATCCAGGCTCAGATGGGGCGGTGGGTGGACTCAGGGGGAGGCGTGGAGGACGGGGTCCCGCTTGTGAGGGGGTGAAAGGCGACCTCCGATATTATTCGCGCTGGACCGAGACCTCGCCTTGCATGGAGATCTCATTCGTTTTGCACGGAGACCTCACCCGCACTACACTGCACTTCACCAAAGGCTCGCCTTGTCCTAGAGCTCAGACCCCAGAACACAGGAAGGGGCCCCGTGTTCAGGGTGGGAAACTGAGACCTCCCAGAAGAGACCGGGCTCTGGCGTCAGCCTTGGGGGTTAAACGCCTGGCCCTGCCGCCCCTTTAGAGCAGGAGGTTGGGCACCGCGCGCCCTGAGAGCCTCCCGCTATCTGCCTCTTTCGCCCTCTGTCGGTGCGGAGGAGTCACGGCAGAAAATGACCAGAAGTGGCTTGAGGCTGTCCTGACCATAAGGCTTCGTCCTGCAGGGTCCACTCTGCCCATTCTCAAGCCGACATCCAGGGCCGGATGTCCAGAGGGACAACACATCAGTTCGGAGGTCGCCAGTCCTGGTGATGTCAGGGACCAGCCCTGGAGGATGCCTCTGACCTTCATCCTTTGCTGTATCCTCAGCAAAGGTAGACAGGGGTCAGCATGCAGGAAAGAGGGAAGAAAGGAGAGGAAGTTCACTGCCCTAAGGACAGAGGCTGACGTCCACAGCACACTGTTCGTTCAGTGTCCCTTCTTTAGTAGACGGCCTCTGGCGAGCGCTGACATGAGATGCAAGATTCACACATGGTTCCCACTCCCGAGGTCCCACACGTGCCTCAGTCTCCAGTCTTCCCATCCTGGGCAGAACCCTCCCACGCTCCGAGCCTCGTGCCCACCTGTCAGCCTTCCAGGTCACTTGCTCAGGGGGCTGGTGAGGGGAGGGTCCTCTGGGCCCTCAGGGAACAGAGTCCTGGTGGAGTCTTTGGTCTTACGTAATACATCCGATCTCTCACTCCTGCGCCATAAGCCTGCTAAGCTCTTACTCCATGCTCTAGCAAGGCAGCAGCATCTGCACCTCGTTTCCATTGCGCCCACACTTTGCAGAGCTATCTCAGCAATGTACTGGGATAATTTCCAAGTGTCCTGGCCAGGAAAACAAGTCTTGAGATAAGGAGATTTCTCCCAAATCAGTAAACTCAATGCGGTATCTTCGAGGTCCATCTGCACACATTTCCCCTGTGTTTGGTGATACACAGTATCCAGGACCGTGATTGTGTCAGTGAAAATGCCATTTATTCCCAGAGCAGGAACTTTACTCTCCCACCTGGGCTTTGCTGAGACCTGGCCCTAGTCGTTGTTCTAGAGGAAATAAGGAGAGATGAGGACAGGTCTTGGGAACAAGCATCCTATTGTAAGACGTCCATCTCAGGGGAGGTGTTCGCACAGTGTCTGGGCACCAGCACCTCTGGGAAGAGGAAAGGGGCTGCTCCGTGCCCAGAGGGGTCTGGGTAATCAAGGGGTTCAAACTCAGACTCATGCACCCAAATGTCCCCATCCCAGGGCACAGGGCTCCACCTATCAGGGCATTGACTTTGGCATAGGAAACCTTTTCAGGGTGTTCCCGTTACAACTCTGGGGTCTATACAAGATGCCCAATTCAATTTGAATTTCAGATAAATAAATCATATTTTTGATGAATAAGTAAACCCCATGAAATATTTAGAATGCACTTATACTAAAAAACAAAACAAAACAAACTCTGTTCATTGTTTCTATAAAATTCAAGATTAACTGGACAGCCTGTTTTTTCTTATTATCTGGAAAACCCACACTGGCACCCTTACCATTAAACTCTGGGACTGGGCCTCAGCACCACCTGCCCTGAGGGGGCAGGGGAGGATTTCTGTAAACACAGCCAGGATAACACACCCAGCCCTGCGTCTAATGCTTGCAGTTGCTTGGCGAGCCCACATGCTTAACCACACACACACGAACTGCAGAAGGAAACACAGACAGTGTTCATCATGACTGCCTCTGAGGAATAGGAATAAGCAAACCTGACTTTTCATTTAGACTGTTTATATTCTTTACCATCTATCTTCATCATATATTACCACGTATCCATTTTATAGATCTTGAAAACATGCTAATTTAAATAAATAAATACTAAAGTATAAAGAAAACATTTTTAAAATCTACCATTAAGGTCCTAACAGGTTTGGCTCAGTGGTTACAGCGTTGGCCCTTGGACTGAAGGGTCACGGGTTTGATTCCTGTCAAGGGCACATGCCTCCTTTGCAGACTCCAACCCTCCAACCCCTGCCTTTTCGGGGTGCCTGTGGGAGGCAACCAGTGTGTCTCTCGCATATCAATGTTTCTCTCTGTGTGTGTCTCTCACCCTCCCTTCCACTCTCTCTCTAAAAAAACAAACAACAAAAATAAAACATATCCTCAGGAGAGGAACAACAACAACAAAAATCTACCATTAAGGAACTTACAGCTCCAATGCCAACTTTGGGAAGATGCTATTAATTTTGCAAGCAATTGTGACGTGTATGGTAAGGAAATGAAAGACCTAAGAACCACTCACAGGGGTTGTGGAAACGGGTGTAAGTTGCTCCCACCTCCAGGGTCTGCACAGATGGGTTGATGGTGTTTGGTTCGAGCCTCCATCCTAATGTGGTGCTGGGGCCTGAAATACCCAAGTTCACCTCCAGTGCCCCCGCCCGCACAACCGTCCTAGAAGGTTTAGTTTCCTCTCATAACAACTGTTCACCTAACAGCACTGGATTTCTTTGTATTCCTGTCCGCATGGTGCAGACATGGAAACTGAGCTTCAAAAGTAGTTCCAGGGGGAAGCATGTGCTTTTTGTTTAATTTTTAATTTTATTTTAATGGTAAGTGAGAGGAAGGAAGACAGAGTGCTCTTCTGCGCCCAAGCCCGGAGGAGAGAGGGAAGATGGGATTTGGAAGGAGGTGCAAGCCCTGTGAGCTGCACAGGGTGGCTGCACCTGAGAAGGGCTGGGTGTGAAGCGCCCAGGAGCAAAGGAGGCCCAGCCCAGCCCAGGCGCGCGTCCCCGAGTGCGCCCCGCCCCGTCTGCGCGCGGAGCCTGACTCCGCCCAGAGCGGGACTCTGACTTGCAGGACCTTTCTTGGTGGGCAAGACTGGGTGCCCTCTCCGCGGAAGGGCTCCTGGCGCTGTGGGCTCCCGGTCCGGGGGCGTCCTGATGCCAGGCAGGATGGAAGGCGGTGAGGGGCACGGGATCTGCGCGCGGAAACCCTGGGCGCAAAGTCCCACTTCCCAGCTAGTGTTCCCACTTAGTTCTTGTCTTGGTCTAAGGCTCTTTCCAAGCCTCCGTTTCCCCATCTGTAGAGCCGGAGTAAATAGCGTCCTCCCAGCAGAGTTGGGATGGGAATTAAACGAGGTGCCGCGCGCTCCGCGGAGCGTTCGGGCAAGCGGGCGCCCTCGCAC